CCTTTTTAAGATACCGATAGTCTCATCTATCTGCGAGACGTGAATCAGCCTGACCCAGCGGCTGACATGAGAGGCGAATGGCTGGGAATGTTGACCTCTGAGATCCCAGAGGGCTGGAAGATGACAAAGTTTGTCTCTCCAGCGGCAAAGGTCCACAGCTACCTGTTGGAGAATGAAGCTGGTGAGACCAAGGCTGTAATAAAGGCCAAAGGAGTGGTATGTAAAAGATTTTTTAGCCATTCATCCTTAATATATTCTAGACTTTGGATCATACAGCCACCGCTGCTGTAAATTATGCAGGCATGGAGAGAATTGTTCGAGCCTACATCGAGGCGAACGAAGTCTGTGTCCTCTCGGCAGACACGACTTTGTTGAAGAGGTCACTTGGCCGGATCACAACTGTAGATCAAACCAAGAAGACTAGCGTAGTAATGGATAAGTTGAGGTTTTCACCCGACTATTCCACTCTTCCCTATGGGTATTCATTGTATAATAATTAGATTTTTCTTACAAGATTGTTTCATAATTGTAAATGAGAAGATCAAATAAATTTTTGTTATCACAAGATTGTTTCATCGTATTACCAACTAGTATCAAGATATGGGGTACGGTTTTGGTCAATAGATAGTATAGAGTCATATTCAGCATAAACATTAACATAAATTCCATCGTTAGGTACACGCTGGCTAAACTCTAGTTTCAGAACAACAGTTCCCTGTCTAATTACATCAAACAAGTCGCTAGAGTGTACAGTAAGTAAGATATCAAACATAAAAAAGGCAAATTCATTCTTATACATTTCAGGGGGAATTCCATTAGACGTATCCGAGTGGGCAATTCCAAGACCTTCTAGCATATCAACGTAAGCTGTCGCATAAGACGACTCCCAATCCAAATTGTATGATCTGGTCGGAATTATGCGGTTATTGATTGTCAGATAAATATTCTTCAGATTAAATGGTTCAAAGTTGAAGGGTGACTTGCTGACAGAGCTGTTATACACTTCGGTTGTAACCAAGCCAACAACGATACATTTAGGTGTATGCCATGTAAAGAGAACACGACTAGGTGAATCCATTCTGCCAGCTTCAATATAAAACAACGTCATTTTTACAGAGGTCATGGGGTAGTGAATACGATAAGTAGAAAGTTTCTGTTCAATAGTTGTTTGTAGTCCGAAGTTCAGGTCATATTCCTGTACACCGAGTGTATATCATGAATAACGAGTGACAGTCTCGGTGCGGAGATTGTGACAGTGGAGGTGTGTAGGATCTTCTAATGAAGCAGCTATGTAGTCTCTCACACAAACAAGAAATGTTGAAAAACGTATGAACACATATGAACGTCAAGGGAAGAGTCCTATACTGCGATCTTTGTTAGAAAAGCAACTTTGTTGTTTTTGATGACTTTCTTGAGTTGTTGCTTCTGATGCTTTGTGAGATCAGCTTTACTGAGATCAAGATCACTCATGAAATCCTCAGGAAATGTTGGAAGTTAAGCTTTCCAATCAGCTTCAGGTGGGACTACTACGGCATTTTCATCTGAATGTCTATAGAACATAAGGCTTTCTAAGCATTTGATCTTTTGTCTAGCGTGGAATTCTTCAGGAGGAGGAACATCTTCTGGGGCAGATGGAAGATTTCCAGGATGCCAGCATGAAAGTTTCTCCAATAGTTAAGGTTCATATTATATGCTAATGCTTGCCATCCATCACTCAACATAACCTTTGGCTGATAAAGAAGGATTTATTATAGCGTAGGTAATAGAACAAAGCATATATATGAGGTGAAGCAAAAGATCTAAGATATACATAAGGAAGAATAATAGAGCACGACTATTACATTAATATAGGAGAGAGATAAGTATAAGCATAACTATACGCTACATGAGCAGAGTTACAGTACTCTCAGATGGAGCAACTATCCTCCAGCGCTACTCAGTCTCAACTAAACTTACTAGCTAAATGGCGCTATGATCACATGTCATATTAAAGATACTTGTACTCTCAGGGAGCTATCCGAACGGAACGACGCCTTTCTGCTGCGTAGGGGATGATTAAGTGGAGTTGCACCCGGAACATTCTTCTGAAATTAAAAGGAAATGAACAAGATTCCTCAATCTCACTCTCTTCTTTATCTTTCAATTGTTATGCTGGCCCTTCCACCTTAGGAATGGCGTTATAGATCTCCTTGTCGAATAAATGGACAAATTTCAAGCCCCCTTTCTCGAATGACTTTATTTGTCCACAAACTGTAGAATTAGAAAAAACAAATCATCGACGCGCAGTCGTTTTTGCTGTTCATCTTGGAAAACAGCACAGGTACTGCACATGAGGGTAGGAGATACCCCCATTACAGCTGAGCTTCGCCGGAACAAACTTGTGCAGTTCCTCTAGCAAATTCTGCAATATTTTGTTATGTATCTTCTTCTAAACACTCCCACGTTTCTTCCTCAAAATGCGGGACCGCATTACGTGATCAATGTAAAAACTATCTACTAATCTGCTGAACCTGCTTCATCAAATAGGCAGCTTCCTGCTCGGTCAGCACAGGATAGCCAACATGTGCACTGTGGCTTTACCGTCTTCGTCTTGATTGCCTTAGGCGCGCAATTATAAGAAGTCCCCGCAGGGTAGTGGAGCAAGCCACATGCAGTGCTGAAAATATGAAGAGGTTCAATCAGGTCTTACAAAATTCTTGACAAATCATGAAAAGCAACCAAACTAAAATCACAAAGAAATAATGTATTTGAGCAAACTCATCATCTTCTGCAAAACATACCTCATAGTCGGGGACTTCTTCTGATTGCATCCCGACGGCAATCAAGACGAAGACGGTGAAGCCACGTAGAATCATTGTCGGAACGAATGAAAACTCGGGACAGCGAAAGGATAGAAATAAATCACAAGCATTTTTATCATTTGTTTTGTTTCTTTTAAAGCTAGCTGATTCAGCACATCATTTGCTTTGTTATTGATCGCCTTGTAAAGAATAGTAAAAGAATGAATCACAAGCGTTTCTCGCCACAATGCTAATTTAAGGGCCCATTATTAGAAGGGATTAATATTCCAACTATACGATTCCGGGCTTATCCTACATGACGGTCTAATGAATTTTTCATCTTATCAGAACGCACACGCAAGTATGTACATACAGATAAGATAGTGTCAGTACCAACAATTAACGATTTCCACCAGTAGTGTACACACCGATTTTGACTCAAAGGAAAGCCGACATCATCATAAATCATTTTGACCTGTCACCTGTCACTTTTAGCCCCAGGCAAGCCCCGCCCACGCCCCAGGCTTAATTAGCCCCAGGGCATAATTAAGCATATTAGGGCATGATTAAGCATAGTTAAGCCTAATAAGGACATAATAAAGATTTATAAAGTTTATTAAAACTTTACAAAGTTTACAATATAATTAACAAAGTTTACAAAGTAAGCTGTAAGTATTTAAAAAGTTTAAAAAGTAAATAAAGTTTACAAAGTAAGCTGTAAGTATTTAAAAAGTTTAAAAAGTAAATAA